TGGGATACCGCAGTCCCATGTGGATCAGAAAATAGCCACAATGTAGTACAACTAAACCCTGATGAAAATAAATATTATCTTCTCACTCCATACCCCACATTAATGCAATCACTCAAAAAATTTTCACCAGAAAGCATTCGCGCTATCGCTCGAAACCCAAATATAGACTTACAATCAATAGGAATCTATTCAAAATCAGATATTCAACATCACATTAGAACACAACAATTCCAAGAGTTACTAACACAAATGGACACTATACAAAGACAATCAATTGACCAAAACTTACGCAAACTTGCAGAAACCGCAGGATTTGCCGATATCTACACACAAGACTATAGCGGATATTTTAAAGACATTAAAGATTATATATATCTAAACGGCGAAAAATACCGTCCCCAAGATATATCACCAATCAACATTTTTAGCTTTGTTACACTCAAAAATGAGATCCTAGATTTTCTAGGATGGCCCTACTACATCTTAGAAAAATTGACTATTTTATACGCAATGTTTAACTTTATTGGATTTCTTTTCTCACTCTTAAAAGGAATCTACAATACATGTGCTATACACACACAAGTAAACAGACAAGCAAGTGTAGCACGCATACTCTTTGCAGGATTTTTTGGAATCTTTTCCACATCTATAAATAAAATTCTTTTAGACGCACAAATAAAAGAATATAACACAAAAATAACAACACGACAAAATACATACGACGAAGAACATAACAATGTAGACACACAGCCAACGGCACCACAATTGCCACCCCTGCCAAATAACCATCCACTATCCCTAGTCCCACGAAATTTTCGAAATTTAGCAATCACACATAATCCAAATTTTAGACTCATCACATCACAAAGTCCCGTACAGCATATAATGACACATCAATCACACGATGATAACACTTATGAACAAATTATTGAACAACCCCATACCACCGCTTTTCAATCTCAAAATAATAATTTTTTTAGCCCACGATGAGCCGCCAACTTGGATCACTCCATCGATCAAATTCCCATCCAACCAACCTTACCTCTTCAATCCCAATAATCCCACTTTTTGCTTTTCCGCCACCCGATTTTCCATCTAGCAATATAACATCAGGCATGAATTCCGACACTAACTCACAAATTTCAGTTTTATACTCCATCTCACAGCTAAATAACCCGAATATTGAAACCCCCGATGAATTTGCCGACTCAGAACCATCTCCATCCAATAATTTCCATAACCCTTCTCATTTTTCTCAACCTCCCTTTCAACCCATATTGTCAAATAACCCTGACCCCATCACTCCTACACCCTCTTATGCTTCCCAAGTTACCCCAACCTACTCCTCATACCACTCTGACCAATCATCTCCAGATACCCCCCGAATCTCACCAGAGCTAGACAATTTTATTACCCTCCAACAACAACCCTACCACCTTAACACCCCGACCATAAACCAAATCTCCTCCACTACAAATTCAACCAATCCTCCTACACCCTCTTCAAATTATACTGAATCATTAGCACCATCATCCACATCAACTGAATCCTCACTCAATACTAATAGAGCTTACCGCACTTTTAAAAGAAAATTCCCCAACCATCCTTTCCCAGCAAAACCAGGAACAGCCCGTGAATACATCAATCACCCCCAGCATACTAACACAAGAGAATTTTTAGCTATCACTTTACCCTCATTTCCACAATACACCTTAAACACCCCTCATGACGCTAACGAAACACGCAACTTTGTAGACGAATACGTTTTAATGCCCACTCTCTCTTGGACCTCATACTATCATTTCACTAACCCTCTTTGCTTACCTTTAACCAACACTTCCATCGATACAGACCGAAACAAAGACATGCTATATCGACTAACTACACCACTCACCGCTAGACAATTTACTTACGTAGGATATAAAAAATCACTAAAAATACACACTGCACCTAGAGCTAATGAATATACACTAGAATACTACGATCACAACATCATAAGAGCTAACCAAGATCAATTCTTAGATGAAGATCGCTTCGCTAATCCACAAATCACCGAGAAATTTTTCATCAAGACACCATATGTATTTACACTAAACATCTTTGACCGAAAGTTTGATCACATTATTTCAGAAGCACTAACAAGCACACAAGCATACGAAAGTTTTAAAGAACGCTTCCAAATCTTCTCACTAACCTTTCATTTCCTTGCACCACACGAAAGAGATTTACACTGCTCACACGATATTATGTTGCGAACTAAACAAACACATACATACAGTTACTATCGTTTCATCCAAAATCACTTTGACCTCCACACACCCTCTAGACAACCACACCATCGTTTCCAATTCATCAATTCAAAATACACTTCACCATATTTCCTAAATTTCACATATTGTATTAAAGACACTAACCTTCATGGTATTCTTCGTAATTATGACCCCATAACCCAAATGTACATCTTCTGTCCCATCACCAAGACCTTCAACGCCGAAGAATCCCGACCCTTCCTTATCCCGCACGAGTTTGTACAGCCTATAGAAATCCCCATTTTAGAATTCATCCATAACACTACATTTAACCACAAATTATATAACTTAATCCAAAACACACCTTATGAGTTTGCAGTAGGCACTGAAGAACTAACCACCATTAAGGCACTTCAATTGCTTTGGCCACTACTTCAAACTAAAAATATCATCCGCATATTAGCTAAACTACTCACAACTTCAGAACTAATCCACGACATCTTCCCCCACGGTTTTTTCCCCGACGACTAACAGGTAAGTATGAATTAAATGAATATTACTAACTAATTAAAATATTGAAAAAACTCACCATTCTTTATTCATGTTTTCTTTAGATTTTTAGCCTTCATCCGACGATCACCTACAAAAACCACAAAAGACAAATAAAAATCGCAAATTTCATCAAACAAATTTCCAAAATTCTATTAATCTCTTACACATATAAATTTATAAATTCAATACCAATGCAGTAAATTAATTTATAAAATTTTCCCCCAAAAGCAGTAAATCTACATATGATGAAAATTTGTATCTTAAAATTCCCCCATTACTAGCAGTAAATTTCCAAATTCTATGCAATAAATTAATAAAATGCAATTGCAGTACTAACCTTTTGATATTTTCATTCACTCGCACAGAAATTCTATCCATACTCGCACAGCTCGCCCACGAAGAATTGTTTAAAATAATGAATTTCAGTTTCAAGTTTTCACACTCAATAACTCTAACACACGATAACAAGTTTCAAACTTTCCTTTAACCCGGTTGGAGAGGAATCATATACTAAACAAAACTAACCAACGCAGCTTACTAAATACCACAAATCATAGAATAACAGCATGACTAAGAAAAGGAAACCAACGGTACCCAAACCGGATTAACCCAGTTTAAAACTGGATAATTTATTCTTTTGAAGACTATTATAAAGTCTTAGAAAGAAATAATAAAACACAAAAAAGTCGAAAGACAAACCCATACCACAAACAATTTGATTTTTGAAAAAAAGGACACAACCAAAGAAACATGTAAAACCACAACAAACCCAACATAAAACGTTGTCACATAACAGGACCCCTCACAAAAACCGCATGAAATCATACTCCCACACCTGGCCTAACCCACCAGGAAAGGACGTCCTGAGCATGCTCTATAGCCGGCCTAACCCACCGCGCTACATCCACGCTTTGTGACCACACCTTTATTTTTAATAAGAGCTACTCAAGGGTGAGTAACTCTTCAAAATAACCGAACTAAAACAAAAAGCTTTTGTGAAAACAACTAACTAAAATCATAATTAAAAAATATTAAACTAATAAAAGTTTTATAAAATGTAAAATCACATGATGCAATATATAGATCAGAATACAACACCAAGGACGAACATCAAAAGACAAGACGACCTCACTACACTCGAGAGAGAATGACCAACTACAATCGATATGCCACTCACAATCACAACTCAAAGGATTTAGAGTACGACTTGACTTCGCAGAAAAGGACTTCATTGAACTAGACCAATGACCACCTCGATGTTCAAGTATACGTACAGATCCGAGTAATCAGGCATCCCCTCCACGCACAATCTCCACGCCATTCCCAAGCTAGATCAGATACAAAGGAAGTTCTCCCTGAAGAACAGAAAAACCTGACATAGCCAACCATTCTGAAATCAGAATTGGTTTTGTTGCAAAGACTCAGTCGTTGTCACAAGGAGAAGCGAAAGAAAATTGTGATGTTCGCCAAATACCAACGTCCATCATCCATCCTTGAACTACAGAAGAACTGTTCTAAAAAACACTGTAAAACCCGGATGGGTGGAACCTGATCTAAACTATATTTTATGATTGGATAAATTAAATGTTTTACCAATGTAAAGTATTTAATATTAACCAATCATGATCCATCTAACTAACAACCCACTTATTTGTAAGTGCTGAAGTTACTTGTAATTTCAGCACCAGAGAGATTTGAATTTAACTTAGAAATTAGTTGGACTCTCCCGAGCACTTCAGCAGCCGCAATAAACCAGTATACCCTAGATCTATTGAGCCTAGCAGAGACTAGTTAAACAACCTGAGACTAGATAGTATAAGAGTAAGATTAGGATCGGTATTAGACTAAGAAGTTGCACGAATCTATCCGGCCGAAAATAAGATAGCGTGACGAGCAGACGGTGTACCCTATCCGAAATTACTCTATGAGTTACGCCCCAGACATAACTCAGTACACTTAGATAGGGGAAACTAAGAAGCACGATTTTTAAAAAAAGCATATATAGCGAAAAGGGGTTTTAAGCAATGACAACACTCGGATCTGACCCCTCCATAATGATCCCAATTGAAGTTGAAGGGTCTATAAGTGAAGAGGCGACGCTCTTGTTTTAAGTAGAAGAAACTCTAGCCGCTAAGTGAACAAACCGCTAACAAACATCAAAGATGCAAAGGTTTTCAGACGCGAAGGTCATACTTGTACCTGAAATCATTCTGACCAGCAACTAGAATACTCTCTTCGTCGCTCTTGTCTAAATTGGCCACAACCCCTTTCAGAGTGGATATTGTTTCTTTTGCGAACCAGCTTTTGGTCACCACTATTTTAGCACCACAGTTTTTGTCCATTGAGTATCGGTCACAAGGCTGGATTTCGAATCCAGCGTCTGGCTGATAGATGTCGATGAACATGGCAAGGTAGTCTCGACAAAGCTCCCGTTTATCAATTCCCTAGAAGTTATAATGACCATTTAAAACAGTGGAAATACACCGGCCAAAGTACAAACCAGCCAAAAATGTGAAGAGCTTACAAATCAGTCAAAAATTCCCTCACTTGCATGAATTTCATCACTGTTGCATAAAAGTTTTATAGTTATTATAAAACAATTACAAATTTTTGCCTTGTTAATAAGTCAGCTGGTTTATACACTGGTTGTTTTCTATACCACCACATTAAAGATCTATTTCACAAAATTCAGCATCGAACTTATTTTGTTTGGCTTCATAGTCTTAAACTTACTATCAGTGTGCCAGTTTTTATTTAACTATCAAATAAATTTGCATTAAACAACCACAGCTAATACTTAAAAATCAGGTCATATAGCAAAAATAGTTTAGCACCAAAAGTAAAATCAGATTAGATTAAAAAGATAATCTACAGCTCAACAAACCAAATTAGTATGAAACAAAAATGACTAAAGTAGTCTGAAAAACAGAAACATTCATTTTTTCTTGACATTGAGAAAATTTTTGAAAAAATGAACTTTTTCAAAATGAACACATAATATTTGCGACTTAGGTTGGAAAAAAAGAGAGTTCATACTATCACACAAGCTTTAATTGTTTAAAGAATTTTCAAGAAAAGAAATCATCACGACCTACATAAGAATCTGAACTACTTTCATCGACTCTTAAGCATCAAAGGTTCAACAAAACGAAGTTGATCTCTATTGAATTGGGGCAGAACTAGGATTTTTGTGGGGGAGCTTATTTCAAAAACGTTATTCGGCTGGCCCCTAGCAAATATCAGAGCCCTTCTAAAACACCAACAAGACCAAATTCTGTCAAAAACGCCAATTGCAAAAAAATAATACCCAGCATTTGAGTTCAGGCGCTTTGCGGACGCTTTGACCGTTAATTCTTGACCGTTTTTTCTTTACCGTTAAACCTTCCGAACTTTTCTTGAATTAAATTGTGCCGAAAAACTCAACCTACGTCATAATTTTTCTCATTCCTTTGAGATAACAGAACTTCAAATTGAAGTCACTGTAAATAAATATTGCACTAAACAAAAATAGCATGACTTACACTTGCATCAAGTTATTGCTTATCAATTTGCAACTAGCGTTCATTTTTTTTCTCACAAAAATGTTAAAAACTTACCTTGAGTCTGAACTTGTCGTCGACCCATGGGGCAGACATGAGTATGTTAAGAGCACGTGATTTGTCCTGAGTGGAGATGAATTCAGCTACTACTTTGTTGAATATTCTGGGGTTGCCTCGCAGTTTCCTGAAACGAGTGTTCATTTTGTGAGTTCGGAAGCCGAGGTAGCAATCTAGTAAGAGGTAGGTGGCGATGTCGTCAAAGTCGCACAGCTCCCTGGGCGAAAGGCACTGGAATTTGTCCACATGCATGGCCTGAAAAAATACTGATCAGAGGACGAAGAACATTTGTCCTGTGAATAAAAAAACTTCGCAATAACCATTTTTTTTATAATCGAATATTTCAACTGCTTTTAAGTCAAACTACTTTCCGTATTTTACACAGATTTAAAGCTGCGCTTCGCAAACACAAGAGAGGAAAATGTAAAAGAGAGCTCTAATCAGGCAAAAAGGAAAAAATTAAAAATACACCTTGAGAAACAAAATTTAGTGAGACTAGTAGTATCACATTCTCACATCTGCTCCACGACAGCTTGTAATTTACTAACACTAGCCACTAATAAAGCAGCTACAGTCTCTGTCACTTTGCCAATGCTACTCAGCAAAAATTCGACCAAAAAAACTATTTCAATGTTCCGGATTTAAATCTCCGACCAGTTGATAAGGAGTCTCACGTCCTCGCATCTGCGCCGCGGTATCTTGGAAGTAATTTAGTGGCCTAGTTAATGCTTGAACCACCTGTTTTAATATTTCTAATGAGATTCGAACCTGCGACCCAGAGATTAAGAGTCTTATACACTAACCAATCAGCCACGGACGCTTAATAGGCAGCAAAAACAAGTAAAGCTTAGAACAGATGAGCGCTAGTGTAATCATATATTGTTGTGATACTGAAATGCGTAATTTTCAAAAAATAGACTTTACGCAAAACCCTAAAAAATTTTCTGCATAGGTAGAGGATAAGCCGCTTATCTAAAGGAGAAAAACATTACTCGCTCTTTCAATTGATGTTTCTATCTCAGATTTGGCTGGGTATTTTTCGAAAAAAGTGAAAAAGATTCCAAAATGACCAAAAATTCAAAAATTTGAGTTTTCATAAATCCATAAAATTTTCTTTACTAATGCATTGGAATAGCCTTTTATGCGGGGAAGACGTCCACACCTTGATTTTTAGATTGAACTTTTGATATCAGATTTATCTAGTAGTTTTCGAGACTAGTGATGCAATTTCTAAAAAAAACGGTAAAAATTTCAAAAAATGGATTTTGCCGAAGTCCATATCAATTTTCTTCAAATAAATAGACAACTTGTCCAAAAAAAATTCAAGCACCATGTTAATTTGAATAAACTATCAACCTCAGAATCCGCAGGTTAGTTTTTGAAAAAAAAAGAATAAATTTCCAAAACGAGCGAAAATTCAAAAATTGGACATTGTCTAAGGCCATATTTTTTTTCAAAACGCAGGGCATAGCCGTTTGCGCAGGAACGATTGGCATAACAGACTGCTTCTCTTTCGGCTAAATCCTTAATCTCCCTTTTCGCTGAGTAGTTTTTAAGAAGTCGAAACATTTTAAAAATCAACAAAATGTCAAAATAAGAAAATGGGCTTGTGTGAGGCCATAACTTGTTTCTACGGAGATTCCTAAATTTGTCCTATTGATTTAAACCATCATCTCAGATTTGTGTATTTAATACTCGAGACAAAGAAAAAAATTCGAGGCAGCAAATAGGTCAAAAATCCCTCTACTGAAAATTTCGAAGGCCGTAAAACTTAGGGTAAAATGCAGGCACATAGAAAAGCAGCCGGTTTTTCCATAGGTACCTTGTTTTTGAAAAATTCCTTCAAACAGGACCCTCAAACAGATTCCTTTTAACAGGACCTTACACAAGCCAGAAAAGCAGCAACATATGTTTTTAATTTGCTTATGATTAAATAGGCTTAAATATGATTAAATTGAAATATACAAAAAAGCCACCAAACGAGCACGTTCATTTGCGACTTAGGTCATAAAAAAATTCTTCGTAATAAAACACTTCGCTTCGTTGTGTAAAAATTCTTCGTAATACACTTCGCTTCGCTTATTTAATAAACGCGATGCAAATCACTGTAGTCTTCACACTACTAACATTCAATTCAATATTCCAATGGCTCACAACGAAAACTCACAGATCTTCAGAAAAAAAATAGCTCGACTTTTTATGTAAGGTCAGTTTAATTGTACTCAGAGGCAAACACAGCGGAAAAAACGCAAAAGAAGCAAACGCCTTCAAAGAAGCGCATACAACTTTGCTGTTTAAAAAACAAAGAAACAGTTACAGCAAGACAGGGGCGGATCTAGGTTTTTCTCGAGGGGGGCGTGTTTTCAAAAAAAAATTGTGGCGACCTTTTTTTTAGGTCGACCAAATTGATTTCCTGAGCTCTGTCAAAGCACTACAAAGACCCTGTTTCAGCCAAAAATTTCTGCGCCGCATGCAAAATTTTGGAAAAACAGCCCAAAAAGGGGCGTTTTTAGGAATCTAAAAACGCCTTTGGGTCGGCATGGGTTTGAATCCATGAGGGGAGAGGGCGTCCGCCCCCCCCCCCCCTAAATCCGCCCCTGGAACAAGATATTTGCAATCAATGTGAAATATTTCTTGAAAATACGCAGATGTGTATTATATTACAAGCTCCGATTGCGTACTAACTGTCCATTGCAATAAAAAAGAGCATTGGAAGCGAGCTTTTCGGTCAAGATTTGGACATTCTATCTGTAAGTTCACAGTCTCTTCATTTCTCTGTATAAAATTTGAAAACTTAATTTGTTATAATCTAAACGTCCGACAAAAAACTAATAATGTTTATTATTAACCAGTTAATTTCCAGGCTAATTGAAAAAAGAAAAACTATTCCTACTTGAAAGCCTTTTTTATTTCACTGACTGCATAAAATCAAATCTCCCATTGATTTTAAAAGTGAAGAACTAACTTTTGGGCGATTGATATTTTTTTATCGGGGAGCTTAGTTTCACCTCTTAGAAAATAAATTTGAAAATAGATTTACAAATGCCCTAATTTTGAGTTTCAAACCGGCAAAACAAAACAAATTAAGGCAACCTATCTTCAATTTTTTCGAGCAAAAACCACGACTCAAATAAGAGAAGTTTCGTTTTTCGTCAATTAGAATTCAACTTCTTTCTTAATCCAAAAAAAATCGATGGTTATTTGTTAGAGTACATGTAACTATAATAACTACAGTAGAATAAGACAGGTAAGGTATTTCACTCTCCGTGTAAATTAGTCTGAAAAAAGTGGAAAATCCTACCAATTTTTCTCGACACAAACACCTGTTGAGTTTTGGAATCCAACTCACAATTCATAAAGATTTTATATCATATCACACTTGATCCCGCACGAGCTTTCCTAGAAATACCTAAGATTGGGGAATAAAGACGCCATTGTGCAATAGGTCCTTCCAATTCCAACTTTCCTTTAGGGTCTGATCCGATATTCATTTCGCAATTTTTAATCTTCAATCTATTTTGCGCTGCAAGCTTCGATAGCATGAGAAAAGTTGGCTAATGCAGTCAGAAGCGGATATGAGTGCAAAACAAAGCGAAAAATACATCCGCTACAAAATTTACGTTGAGAAAAGTGAAGCAAGGAAATCACTCGATTGAAAACGCAATTCCAAGTACAAAAACAGAACAAAATCAGAACAAATAGCTAATTAGTTAGTATACATATTATTCCGAATAAAACATTCAATGTAAAAAATGAAAACAAAAAATACGAGAAAATGAATAGCCCACAGATGGTTTGAAAAAAGTAGATAAAAAATTGTAAAAAGTTTTTGAACAACTTTTGAAGAAAAAACTATATGACGTTAAAAAGCGCTTTGAATTATAAGATATGTTTAAAGATTGAGATTTGATTCTGAAAATTATGCATTTAAAGAAAACTGGATCAAAAAATAAAAAAATAATTTTTATACCGCTGATCATTCAAGTTTTTACCGCTGATCATTCAAACTTTACACCACTGCTGTTGAATAATGAAAAGAAATGAACTGAAAATCAAATGTCAAATCGCGAAAAGTCAAATTTGAGAGTGAACAAACGTTTTTCCGAAAAGTCAAATTTGAGGAGTGAACAAAATTGGTTCTTTGTGAAGCTACTATTTACCTCACGGAAAAACGCCAGAAAATAGATTTGAAAAAATAACTATGTCCGGTGTCAAAAAACGATCATATCTGTATTGCATTACAGACATAAAAAAAGTGTTCCAGCAAAACGAAATTGAACAAAATTCGTTTTTTCGTTGAAATCAAAAAGCTACGATTTTTATGTCCGATGTCTGTATTTGAATCTAATCCACCTATATATTTTTTTCAAAATGCGCTGATCATGTTCTTGTCGGCTTTTACCTATTTGACGGTTACGTAGCAGTATTCATACAACCGCCTATTCAGACTCGTCAGTAAGTAGACAAATACTGTATTAACCAATCAGAACCGAGACAAGGAAAAAATGAAAAATTAATAATTATTTATTTCGTAACTTTGCTTTCTCATCTCGATTCTGATTGGTTAATATGGTATTTGTCTACCTACTGACGAGTATGAATACGCGGTTGTCGAAAAACAGACTGCACTCCCTGTTTGACATCACCTCTTTTTCAGGAATGGTGAGGATTTGGAGCAATATTACAATAGGAGACAACGGAGTGCGGTCTGTATTTAGACAACCGCGTATTCATACTCGTCAGGAAGTAGACAAATACCATATTAACCAATCAGAATCGAGATGAGAAAGCAAATATACGAAATAAATAATTATTAAGGTCTTCCTTGTCTCGATTCTGATTGGTTAATACAGTATTTGTCTGCTTACTGACGAGTCTGAATACGCGGTTGTCTAAATACTGCTACGTAACCGGTGACAACTTTGAGAACTATTAGATTAGTGCATGTATTAAGCTTGAGAACTTCAATGCATAATACATTCATTTCATTTTCAGCCAATTGTACAAGATATTAAAATATTTTTTAAAAATACATTATTCTGTCAGATGAAAAGTAATTCAAAAACTCAAAACTCACACTTCTTTAGCCAAATAATTTGGCTTTGAAATAGATTATGAATACCGTTCAAAGTATAACAAAGATAGACCCATCTAATGAATTTATATCTGCCACCTATTGCAATATGTCACTGAGGATTCTTATACTGTTTACAAAAAAAAACAAGAATATTTAAAATTAATTAAATTTGTAGATATTCCAAACTAAATTCGATTTATTGTTGCTCACATAGCTAAAAATGTGCTTAATGCTCATAGCTGCAGACACGCAAATCACAAACTTAAATATTTACAAAATTATTGAAAATTTAAAGCCCCATATGTCCAAGTGAAGTCTAACTAATCAGCAGTAAAATAGTAGCAAACGTACGAAAAATGGACTCAAATCAAAATAAAACAAAGATAGAATTAAAGAACTTGAAATAGACTAAAAATAATCTAAATATCTATCTGTATACAAATGAGCGTAAAAGTGGCATGTACAAACAAGGCATCATTCAAATAGTGATTTGTAGAATCGAAATCAAATATTGACTCTACAAGTTAATGTAATTATAGCAACAAATAAATCAGAAGGCAGGAATAATTAAAGATTATGCGATCTATTTGTTTTTCCTTGGTTGAATTAGTATGCCAGATTGCTTCATCATCCAACGACAAGAAAAACGATGAGCTGAAAATCGGATGTTTGGGAGAGGGGGACATCTTGGACACAAGCGTCGAATTACTCGTTCTTTTCATCGTCTTTTCCATCAAGTCAAATTAAATCTTATTTAAAGCCAGCTTGAAGAATGAATCCGTATTACATTGAAGCGGAATCATATGAAGCTGTGAACCAATATTGGAAACCAAGTTACAAAAAATCGGATGAAACTACGTCAACATCCCCACTCCAAACTGATTAAGGAGATATTGACATGTTTCTAAGAAAAAAATTTCAGCTGATCCGCATCGAGAATTTTACACGCTTAAGTGATCAATTCTAATCAAAAATTAATATGGCGAAGGAAGATCTCTTAACTTGGTATATCTAACGGGGTGGACTTCAGGCTTTTCATTCGATCACAATATAGTCTTGATTTTAATTATTCCAGCTTAACTAGGTAAGTAGGATTTAACACCATGCACAAGCCAAGAAAGATAAAACAGGAGAAAAGATGCAGAATCAAGCACGTCCAAGTTCAACTGAGTCCGTTATTCAAAAAAATAAAACGTCGTTCTTTTATCCGAGTGCAAAACCGTTAGCTTCAAAAGTGAAATGAAACAAAAGAAAGGAAGACAATTTATGTTTTAAACTTCTAATTTACTCCAAACATATTTTTCGGAAGAAAAAAATGTTACGCGATCATTTTTAATTTAGACTTTTCTTGTTTGGAGCAAACTGAGAAACTTATCCAAGTATTCTATCAAAATTAATTTCTAAACTTGGCTGGTATGGAAAACCATCAACTGCTTTGGGTTCGGAGTCCCTGAAGATGAAGAAGAAGAAGAATTGGCCCCTCCCCCGATTACTTTCGCAGGAGTACTTGGAGTTCCTCCTCCTCCGCCAGAGCGCCGATTAGCCGATTTGTTCGCGACCGCCGTCAGCAAGTCCGGGTTACTTCGTGTCACCCAACTACGGCTAGCACTGCGATCGATGTTTGACGATGAACTACTGCTTATGTTTTTCGTGCTCAAATTAACACTCGACTCAACACTAGTTTGGACCAGATGAGCCGGATTCAGTGAGCCCCGATTTGACCTCGAAGGCGTTGCCGCCGACAAATGCGCCCCGCCTCCTAGCGCTCCTCTTTCATTTACTGTCTTCTGTGTCCGTCTATCTGTCTTATTCGAGCTTAGGGTCGAGTTCGGACTCAGAGGAAAAGGAGGGTCTCCAACTTTACCACCAGTTTTATCATCAGTGTCAGCAGTGTCATTTGGAACTGTGTTTTGCTTGTTCCTCGACTTCGAGAGGGGTCTCAGAGGTGCCATCACGTTCTTCAGAAGGGAAGAAGACGGGTCCGATTTTGGCGATTTGAAGGGACTTCTACGGGACGAAGACGTTGACTGCATCTGCGTGTCCACGCTTAAACTTGTAGCATTTGACTGAAACTGTTTGGCCGCTTGAGCATGTCTTGGCGACATTTTGGGACTTGTTTGCAGCAGAGAGTATGAGGTATCAATGGAGTGACTTTGATTCATATTTGGCACTGGTTTGTTTGAGGTCGTTTTAGCTTCATTGCGGTACAAATTTGTGTTAGTTAGCATTGGATTTTGTGACTGCTCTCTATTACTATTTCTATACGGTGTTTGAAACTTCTGCTCATCGCTTGTAGGACTTGAATCTTCCACATTCTCATAAACGCTCGGTTGTCTGTCTCCAAACTCAGCACTTCTCATTTTCAAACTTGCCTCGATGCTTCGTGATATTTTATCCGTGTCCAACTTGATCGACTCAGATCTTTTCACAGCGGCTTCAGAAGAAAGCTTTCCCAATTTCTCTCCGGTTTTCAGTTCCTGCTTTCTTTCCACGTCATAAGATGGGTTTTTAATAAAATTAGTCACACTGGCCTTTTCAGGCAAGCTAGTTTTATCAGTAACGGCAGTTTCGCATACGAATGAGTCTTTTGGATCTGAGTCCGAAATTGGGAACTTATCAACTTTGATAGTATATTCAAGTCTCAAATTCGCTATTTTTGCATCCAACTCTCGGGCGATCAGGTGCTCCAAGTCGCCGCTACCTGAAAACGATGAAGATGCTTGACTATCCTTGGACGGTGAATTTCTCACCTCAGGGACCGCCGTTATTTCTTGTTTCTTTCTCGCGCGAGATGGACTTTTGCTGTCATTAGTGAAAAGTTTACAGAAGTTGTCGAACATTTCCTGGCCTTCTTCAGCGGAGCGGCGAACCTTGTCGTCTTTTTCTTTGCATTCCGCCTTTAGAGATTCGATCAAACTGTCCAGGTCCTTCAACATCTTTTGACTCTGGAAGTAATTACCTTCTCCGCTTCCATTCAGAGATATCGAACTTGCACTTGACACTGCAGCCTGTTGCATGGCTGGTGATTCCGTTTCAGTAAACGAACTGCCGTTTTCTGATTTCTCCGAGGCTGAGTTATCATCGTGGTGCTGCTTTATTTTATTGTTCAACTTATCAGCTTTATCACTCATAGATTTGGAGCGCCTTGGAACAGGCGAAACTTCTCGGCTTATTGCTATGAACTCAGCTTTCGTGGGGAGCGGGGAGTTTCTGCTGCTAGGAGGTCCTAGCTTTGACGACGTCCCTTTTCTAGAACCGGTTGCTAACGCTGAAAGCTTTTCAACAGACATTTTTCGCACCGCTGATGCCGTGCAGTTTAAATGCATTTGTGCAGCCGACGTTAAAGAGTTCAAAGACACGTTTGAGTCTCTTCGGAATCCAGTGTCCTTGACAACATCTGGCAACAGGTGACTGCTTCCAGATCTCGAATCTGCGCTGATTCTTGAGTCATCTGATGCAAAAATAGAACGGTGGTTCGAGATTATTGCCTCAATTATACTGCGCTGTTCTAGCATGTCTCCCCAGATTGAAATCATGTCTTCCTTCTGAGCAGCTATGGCTCCTTTTGAGCTCGGCCCCAGAAGCACTTCAGGAGAGGCTGGACTTCTTAGAAGAGTTGGTCCAAACACTGTCGCCAGGTTGGTTACATCCATCTTATTTTCCTCGCTGTGTTGAGCGATTTTGTCCAGATGACGCATCAGATACTTTAAAGTTTCAAAATTGTGAATTGGCAGTTGATTGATGACCATTTTGATTTGCTCCAGTCTCTCCGAGTCGTCTCGCTTACGATTGGCTACAATCAGCGACGAGTACCAGTCGTTCGTGATTAGAGGCTCGGGCAGGCGTCTCAGAAACGTCTTCAGAGCACTCGCAGTTGTGTGCACATCAGCATTACTCAGATCCAGATGACTGAGCGAGGGGTTTATTTGGCCAAGAAGCGAGTTAATGTGGATTGAGTTGCCCGGAACCCTGTAAATTCCAGTAAGGTGGAGCCCTCCTAGATGCTCAATTTGCTCACAGCATTCAGTCACAATTATTGGCACGTAAGGGTTTGAAGGAGACATTTGGTAGCTTTCCAAGTGTGCAAAAGATGACCCATGAATGGGACTAGGAGGTGCTTGGGAGACAGACTGGAAGCTAACCGGAGTCAGTTGGGAAATATTCTGCAAGCAGTTAATCCATTGCACCATGGAGTCTTTTGAATCTGTTTGGAAAACACGTACCACTGCATGTTCAGTTTGAAGCTGAAGTTTGAATGCGAAGCACGTGACCGAGGAGGAAATATTGCGAGTTTTGTGATCACGTGACTTCTTTGACAGACTCGAAGAATGACACAAAATAGGTTCACACCGACATCCTACCAGGTCTAACGAGACCCCGTCGTCACTTTGAGGCGCACTGTGACTTTTCTGCATGTGGAGCTGACTGTGCGAAGTGAATATGGTTACACTCTGCCAAGGCATCATTTCGAAGTCACGTAGACTCTCAGTTGACAAGTCGTCAAACTTGCAATTTCTGATTTCCTTCAGAAGTAACCTGCCTTGCATGTTGCATGATGGTTGGCTATTCACGTCAATTGTTAAGGCCAAGTCGGATCCCTTTTTATGAGACGTCTTAGTTCCCGATACTTCATCATTTGACGATGAGAACATACTTTTCAAAACGGAACCGGAACGTTGCAATAAACTTCGATTTTTCGACTTGGATCTCTTGCGTTTATCTCCAAGAGATCCCGTGCGTGGTTCCGTTTTCGAGTACTCATTTGGACTTTCGGGGTACCAATGCGACACTATGTTTTCATCATCAAACGCACGAGATGGACCTCCTCCTCCTGGAGACCTGTCGTATAATTGCACCGAGAGTTGCTGGATGAAACTTGGTTCACGTGCTTGATTAGTCAGCGTTGCCACAGAAGTGCATGAGTTGATGGTAGACAGACTGCTCATAGTGCTCGTTCTTGAATGCATGCCTTCTGCTGAGTCCATGTGCATCATGGAGTGTCTAGGAAGCGTCTGAGAAGAGTCCCAGTTATTGTCAAAGCAAGGAGGCACATCATAGATTGGTTCTTCGTTGGAGCTCTGACTCCTGTTTAAGTTATCAGATGACGTGTGATAATTGGGTGTCTGTTTTATGGAAGGAACCGTTGGCAAAGGAATCGCTTTCGGAAGAGGTCGCGGGGACGTAGACCTTTTCCCGTACTGGGATCGAACACTTCCGTTCATACTGGAGCTATCCAACAATCAACGTTAGCTTGATCAAGTATTTAAGTAGAAAACATGAGAACAATTTTGAATCTGCTTTTCACACTACCCATTCTAAATTAATCTGAAACGTAACAAGACTGCTCGTATCAGGGCGAAGCCCTGTAAGTTCCGACTGCCTTTTAACGTTTATGGAGCAGTAATAACATAAACAACATAAAAAATAAAATAGAAAAAAATAAAACGAAAATTTTTTTTCTCCAAAAATTGAAATTTTTTTATGAAAATCATCCCCCCACACGCCATATAAAGTACAAAAAGATAGATTTCGTTCCTTGTAACAAATCAATTATGGCAAATAAGCTTCGTTCAACCAATTTGGAACGATTTATAAGACGGATTAAATCTCCGCTTACGCGTTAATAGCGCGAATTATATCGCGCGTTAATTGTCCCATATTGGTCAAAATGGCCAAAATGGCAATCTTTAAACCCTCATAACTTTACGAAAAATGATCACAGGTGAAATATCTTTTCAAATTTAAGTTCAGGACAACAATGGCTTTCGAATGATATAAAAAATTCGTCAAAAATGGCTAGTTAAAAAGTCGAAATTTGTCTGAAGAAAAAAAAACCCACCCCGAGCACAAATATTCCGTTACTTTCGTATCGAAAGTCGGAACAATAACAATATTTCAACATGTTTTTACTAAGCACAGCGATGCAAGCGTTTAGCGTTTTAAAGCCATTCGCACTTGCGATACACCACAAACATGACATGGCAAGCTAGGCGACAGAAAAAAGGCGAAAGCTACTTAGTCGAAGAAATTATTCAAAAAACAAATATCGGAAACTGGTTTTTTCAAATCTTTCATAGGTTTGTCTCGTAAGAAGTTCATTTTGAGGGAAAAATGTCCACAAAGACAATTGAAAGCAAGAAATACGCTATGAAACAAATTTATGAGCCGCTAACAAAGACGAGCTACAGAAAAGTTCGTAACTGGAAGCTTTCATGATTCGCATACCCCCAGTACACACGATTGAAAAAAATTGTTGCTCTAATTACAACACAATATGAGACGACTAAGCCGATATAACATTAGATGAAACTTTCGAGGCCGAAAAATACAGTTAAAGCGAGAAAAAACAGCGGAAAATATTAAAAAGAAGAGATGAGCTATGAAGCCAACATAAACACAAATATACACACAAAGGCTAAGCTTCACTTCACAAACACAAACAACGAAATCCTCAGCAGCGGCTTTAAAAAGAGGAAAATGAGCAGAAAATAAAAAATATTAATGAGTTTTGAATGTCCTCTGCGTGAATCGAACTGAGCAACTGACTCTATATAACAGTGCTGCTGACCCTTATAGAACCGAAACACTAGCCACTGATAACGCTGAGAACACAAGCTATTGGAATAACAAAATTATACAGAAAAAAAACAATAAAGTGAGCACTCGTCCAGGCTAAGTTGGCCGGACAAGCTAATGAAATTGAATTTAATTAATTTTAAGCCAAGCTATAAAATGATTCAAGTGACTTTATTGAACAAATTGTTTAACTGATTAGTCTTGATTAGATAACGCTTGCTAGATGCAAGCGTAATAAATCAAGCTATCAAGTGATGTTGTTTGACAAATTTCTCACCTAAAAAACTCTCAACTCTTGATTTGATAACGCTATTTAATCGCAAGCTTAAAATTTTACACAGATGCGAAGTTGAAAAAAAAAACTAGGTGAACCAAAATTTTCGTATCTCGATAAAAAAAACACATACGGGCCCAGATAAACCTGGAGGTACGTGTTTGCTATTGAAAGAATTTGCTAGACTGATGCGGCACGAAAAGTGTGATATCAAAAATAGGACTTAGTTGTTTCTCTACTAAAATAAAGGAGAAGAGTAAGAAATTTTGAGATAATCAATTTTCCCGAGGAGATAAATTTCTCGTAGAAAAAAATTAAAGAATCTCTGCTTCTGCAGAAACACTTATCGCAACCCGTTCTTTTAATGAAACTTTTTATCTCAGATTTGATTGTGTAAGTTGTAAAAAAAATTCAAAAAATTTCCAAAAAAACGGTCAGAAGTTCTAAAAAACGTTCAAAATACTTTCCAAAATCCATTAAGTTTTTCTGCATACAGCAGGTTATGAACGCTTAAGCACAGAAGATTTCCAAAGCCGTGTTTCTCGATTGGACACAACCTGAGAATCGGACAGGTAGTTTTCGCGCTTCCCGAAACCCGTTCTGAGAACAGTTCTGAAAACTTTTCAAAATGGTTCAATTCATTGAAACCAAAAACTCAAATTTGAGAGGGGTAGTTTTCGAGAAAGCCGAAACAAAAATCAAAAATATTGGTCAAATATTCAACCACACTTTTTCGAAGGCTGTAGACAGAGGGCTCAAGAAAAAAATCTAGGCGAGTACGCATGCACACAGAAGAGTAAGCGGTCTTTCAATTGATACCCCTTTTTGAAAATCAGAAGTTTCTGAGACAAACTAAAAATTTGGCAAACATGATACTTTAAAATGGTACTACAAATTAACACGTCCCTACTTCCTTTCCAAATGCCCACACAGAACAAAAATTTGCCTTTGATTTTTTGATTGGCACTTACAATTTATTCACAAACTAGAAAACATTCACAAAACAGGCATTTTTTTAAACAAAAATAAGCAAATAATTCTAACCAGAACAAAAAGGTGTAAGCACAAGTTTTAAGACAGATGCAAAACTGATCTTCGCGCCACTTGCGATTTAAAAAATGTCAAAAATCAAAAGATAATAGGTCTCAAATGAAAAGTGAAAAATTCGAATTAATTCAGTTGAAAAATATGGTAGGCTAAAGAAAAAGAAAAAATTTTAGTGCAATTGTTATAACAATCCATTACCTAAAATTTAGAAAAAATTCGGGCTACACGGACTTCATTTAATTCTTTATTATAAACATTAAATAGAAATACCAGAGAAAAATTTTGGTGAAAAAATCGAGATCCAAAAATTCCTAAATGTACACAAAAACTTTGCTTCAAATCTTGCAAGCAAACAACTTGCACATCCTAGAGGAATAATTGGCCATAAACATTTGCTTTCAGCTAAGATCAAAATAAACTCATTGGCGAGGCAGCGCTGCAAACCACTTGCACTGCAATACAAACAAAAAAAATAAAGAAGTCGAAAAAATGTTTAAAAAAAGTTTGAAAAAAAGTTGCTTATGGCACAAGAAAAACCAGTAATGTAGCAAGTGAACCAACGAACTTTGAGCAGACCTCGGTTTGAGCCGAAAGAAATTAGTTTCATAAAAAAAGTTAAATCTTTCAAGTTTTAATCTTTCAAGGGTTGGGAATTTCAAAAGGGTTGGGAATTTCAAAAACATTAAATTAATGTTTTCTGAAGGATTTTATCAATCATATTTGAAGGCGAAAACTGCAACTCCTGGGAGTACCCCGACAGAGCCTCACTATAGAGATGTGAACTTCAAATTTTGTGAAACTTCATATCTAAGTTCTTCGAACAACTTTCAAAAAAGAGAGATAAACGTCACATCTCGGAAACTAACGTCACATCTCGGAAACTAACGTCACATCTCGGAAACTAAGAGCATTTGAGCAGTTGCATTCCGGCGCAAAATTTGCAACTTGGAACTCGTCAGAGCACCCTCACAGTACCCAACTACAAGGTTGGAAATTTCAAATCTTTTGAATTCTTAAAATCTAAGAAGAAATCATAAAACATGCCACATCTCGAACAGTACAAGGATTTGAGCAGTTATAATTTAAGGCAAGAGTTACAACCCCTGAGAGTACCATGACAGCACCCAACTACAGGGTTCAGAATTTCAACGTTTGTAATTATTTTTTAATTCAAGTTAAAAAATCAAAAATCGTCGTAACTCGTACACTCAAAGGATTTGGATGTTCAAAAATGGAGGCCAAACTCACGACCCCTGAGGGGACCTTAACAGTATCCCACTATTAGATTGCTAGTTTCAAAATTGATGAAATAACCAAAGAAATCAAACTGGATAATCAAAAAAGTTCTTAACCATTGCAATGTACACTATATACCTTAAAGGTGAAAAAATTCTTTCGTTAAACAAGCAAAAATATTAGGTTGAAAAACCTTTCACATGGCAAGATACTGCACATCGCATTTGAATATCTAATGGATTGCTCATTTCTAAAACACAACAATAAATTACACACAAATTAATTACGAGATAGAAAAAATTGAAGCAGCCAAAAAATCAATCAATTTAAATCTGAAATTTATTTGCGATCCAGAGAGAATAAAAACTATGTTTCCATTTAAACAACTCAAAATTAGATAGGAAAGCCGAAATCACCTGGCCGTAATAAAAACATATATACGCAGTCAAGGTTAGTAAAATTACAAACATCAGAAGTAAATGAAAACACTAAAATCAATACAAGGTAAATAAAAACAATTCTATGATGTGGCAACTGAGCGAAAAAACATTATCAGACAAAAAGGAAGCCGACATTTTTTTTCGAAACGGAATATTGCTTGTTTGTACAAAAAACAGGTCATGTCAGACTCGAACCCAGCACCTTTTCTGTCCCATGCAATGGCAATTAATTCCAATGTTAAACCAAGTGTGCCTGAGACGCAAAGAAAAATGAATTTGTTATGATCTGAACCTACATTTACCATTTCTAATTTTGACCATTCAGACAGAAAAATTATTCATGGGAAAAGTCTATTACAACACACTTGCAGATCGCAAGGGTATTAAATAACAAGAAGTTTATTTAATTATCATCAAAGGAAAATTTATATATCGTCAACTAGGCAAGCAAAATAGTTGATTATTCACGATGCTAGAAACCTGTTTAGTCAAAGTTGAATAAAGGCGAAGAACAGCTTCGCAAAACTTGCGATACAAAAAAGGATGAACATCACTTCTAGCAGATGAAGCAATCAATCGAAAAATAACAAAAAAATGGAAAAACTGTTTTTTTTCTCAAAACTTAAAATAAAATAAATTCGAAAATCTTGGAAGTGAATTACCCGCACCTTTACAAATTTTGCAGACAATGGCGAGTCGAAGCTTCGCTACACTCGCATTACAACACATACATAGCATGGCACACTAACCGACAGAAAGGGTGATAAAAGCCG